GCCACGGGCGCTAGTCATAGTAATGATAATGATGGTAATAATACAAAACGAAGAACTAGAGCGAGGGTGACAGGTCAGCGCAGAGGACAGAGCTGGAGCTCTGTTGCCTGGAGAGGAGGGAAGCCATCACCAAGGTGACACGGGTCCTGCAGAGGCCCTGGGCCCCTCTGACGGTCCACACGACCGTCCAAAGACAAGTTAAGAGCTCCGTGGTCCTCGCACAGCCAGTGCAGCGAGATGACAGCCCCTCTGTCCCCAATAAACCGGGAAATGGCTTTTCTGGAGACGCAGGGGCAGACAAGTTCTATATTCAAGACCCGAGGCCTGGCTGAGAGCGAGGGAGGGGTCGTCTGGTGCCACAGCAAAAACAAAAGATTTTGATTAAAAATTTTTTTTAAAAAGGCCCTGGCTGGTGTAGCTCAGTGGATTGAGCTCAGGCTTCGAACTAAAGTGTCGCAGGTTCGATTCCCAGTCAGGGTACATGCCTGGGTTGCAGGCCACGGCCCCCAGCAACCGCACATTGATGTTTCTCTCTCTTCCTCTTCCTCCCTCCCTTCCCTCTCTAAAAAATAAAATCTTTAAAAAAAATTTTTAAAAGAAAAACGACATTGAGTAGCGAGACATCCACGTGAACCCTGCTCTCCCCGCCCAGCTCACAGACCCTGGCTCTGGGTTCACCCCTCCGCCGTGGAGGCTGTGGGGCTCCTCTGTGGGGAAGGGGACCAGCCGGAGAAAAGTGACAGAGGCCCTGATGCGCGGTGGTCCCCGCATCGAAATGTGAGCCGCTGAAGCACGCGGGACTTTCCATGGGCTTTGCTGGGTCTCAGGTTCAACATTAGCAGAGAGCCGAAACTTAGGCCCTCAAATAAAGTCTCAGACCATCTATCACAAGGGGCAGGGGGTGGGGAGACTCTTGAAGCAAACGTGAGGACGTTGTGAGTCAAAAGAATGCTTACGAAATAAAGATTCGCTCAAGAGTTCATAGAAATCTTGCATCCAATTATAAAAATATGCACAGCACACTTGAAAAAAAGAACATTCAAAGAACAAGAAAACACTCCTTGGAAATTAAATATCTCCTAGCAGAAATAAATAACTTGAATAGTGGAGCTGGAAAATGAAATCAAACCCTCCCAGAAGGTAGAACAAAAATATAAAGGGATGAAAAACAGGTAAGAAAAACGGGAGGACATTTTCAGGAGCTCGGGCCCTCCCGCTGACAGCGGTTTCGGGGAACGCATGATAAAAACAGTGTGGAAGGGAACCCTGAAGAAATCATACAGTAACATCTACTGGAACTGAGCCGCGAGAAGTTTTCCAACTGAAAGGCGACAGAGTTCCCAGCACGATTTTTCACAAGAACGCAGCTGAAGCACGTCATTCAGAGACGCGGAAATTCCGGGATGAAAAGGTGATGAGAGTTTTGGACAGAAAAACAGGCTACAGGCAAAGGATGGACGGACAGCCATCAGGACCTCGGGCGGCAAAGGGCCTAGAGACGGTGAAGGAAAGTCTTGTAAAATGTTGAGGAAATAGGACTTCACCTTGGAGTTTTATACCTAAACAAACTAGCAATCAAGGGAAAATATATATAGATATTTGTGTGCAGACACATATTCTAACCCTCTTTCCTATTCACAGGCCTCAGTTTTATTTGCAACAGCTAAAAATATTTACTTTCCTGTCTTCCTGCGAAGCTGGCAGTGGTCCTGGGCCACAGTTTGGCCAAGAGAAAATCTGCCACAAAAGTTTCCAGAAATATTCATAGTTTTCTGATAAAACAGATTTGGTTGGCTCTGCTCTTGCCTCTTCTGCCCTATTCCTTCCTGGAATGCAGATACAATGCCAAGAGGTACAGCAGCCATCATGTGACCAAGAGGCAGCAAGCGTAAAGGCAAAGGCCAACGTATAAGTATGGCAGACACAAACAAGAGCTTGCGTCCCTAGTAGCATCAGTGACCCACTTCACTGAGTACTTCACTACTGTGTGTTACATAAAGGTAAAGAAAAGAAAACTTTAAACAATGTCTGTAGTCAGGTTTTCTGTCACTTGCAGGTGAAAGAAAGCATTGTAGCAAGTTCTCAAAAACACGTTACCTCCCAGGCACCCTTCTTTGGGAAGTTACTAGGAAATGTGTGCCACAAAAACAAGGAGTGAACTAAGAAGGAGAAAGTTACGGTGCTCACAGAACAGGCGATACAACACAAGAAGGACGCAGGGGGAATTTCCAGCATCTTGGCAATACGGGTGGAGACAATGGCTATACTGTACACCTAAAAAGTAACTAGCTTCTATTGGAACAGGCGGATAACGCCAAGGAAAAAAAATAAACAATAGATAGATTACCTGGTGTGCCTGATAATGTTGAAAGGAATTTAATACGTCTCCCAGAAAATCTGGAAGTAAAGATTAGTATGAACACACACGCAAAAAGCAAAACATTTCAACACCAAAGCAATGACCAACTCCAGGAAAAATGAAAAGTCACAAGAGGGATGAAAGGGAATCACAGAATGCCGGCTGGCTCGACTGGGCGCAGTATTTGCACTCATGACGCGAAACTGAATATTGCCGATAAAAATGATGGCGGTGCTCTTCTGGGTAGTTGGAAAGAACAGAAGCCAGTGTGGTTGGGGTCCAGGGAGTGAGAATGATAAGAAAGGCAGTCAGAGAGAAAAACAGAGATTAGGTTATCCTGAGGTTCGGATTTTCTTTCCCGAGAGCCACAGGACGCCACTGGAGGGTTTTAAACAGGAAACCTGCATGATCCGACTCATGACTGAACGTGATGACTTTGGCCGTGGTGCTGGGAAGAATGCACTGCTTGGGGACAGGCAGGAAAGCCAGCAGACCAGCGGGGAGGCTGCCGAGCAGAGGATAAGGCGCTTCCACAAAAACAGATAAAAAGAAGGTGGGAATAGACTTTGGTGGCGTATGGAGGGAAAGGGATGGCTTGCCGGGTGTTAGTGTGAGGCGTCTGGAGAAGGCAGAGGGTGTTACCACTTTGCTGGAATGCTGGGGAAGGAATGGACTCCGGAGAGGAGGGTTTGGGATCCGTTAGGGCGAACATGCCCCTGAAGGCCACCAGGTGAGCAACTGTTTGGGGCTCAGGGTAACTGACACACACGGGAGACAAACCCCAGGACACACTCCGCCTTCAGCAAGCGGCACCTCCTCCTTCCCTCTTGCCAACACAAAGAAATGTTTCATCGTATGTTTGGATGTCAAACAACTTCAGTGCTAGGATTTGGGGCCCTGATTTAAGACTTGATATGGAGAACCCAGGATAAAAAGGAAATGAATCCTGGGGTATCACATGAAACCCATTCGAAATGTTTAGGTCGAACTGGCATTTTATTCTGAGTCCTATCTACGCTAAGGAAAAAGTCTCCCCGCCAAAGCTGCAGTCTCGACATAATAAAAGTCGCCCCTCTATAAAATATTTTCCCATTATTAGCTTGATTTAGTGAGCATTTTCCACTTAAAAAAATTGTCCATGCCCAATGGAATTCCGTTTATGCGTACAGAGCATGTGCAGAGTTAAAGGGCCACCTCAGCCACACTTTGAGATTCTGTTTCAGTTTTGCAAAAAGGGATTTCTCAGGAAACATTCAAAAGGACCGATTTGTACAAAAGGCTTTCAAAACCCTCGAGAGCGCTCTCATTTTCGCTTGCAGGTCAGAGTTCCTGAACCACACAGCCAGCAGCGCGCTCCTTCTTGGCCTCCTCGTTGCTTCTTCGTAGCTCGGGGCAGCGCTTGGATTTCATCATGGGTTCCCAAATTGGCCTGACTGGCCGTGTGCATTTTAACGAGAGCTGGGTCTCAGCCACGTTACAGTAGATGCGGTACGGGAGGGGCACAGCGGTGGCAACTGCAGGATAAAGCGTGCCGTACCGTGGTAAAGGGTCACGGTTGCGACCAGTTGTTGAAAAAGAAAAAGAAAGAAAGAAAGAAAAAAAAAAAAAGCCTGGGTGTAGAACCCTGAAAACGCGGGGCTGGAGGTCACGGCCGGCCGTGCATTGGTGGGCCGACAGCGCCCCTAGCGGCAGAGAGGCGGCGGCGAGGACTGAGGGGAGCATCCGAGTTGTTAAAAAGACACCTGCTGGGTGAGCCCTCATTATGCAAAAAGAAAGGATCCACAGGTGCCCGGCTTCAAGGGGCGAGAACGCGGGGAAATCTAGACCTGGCCAACAGCTCGCATAGCCACACACTTTCACTCCCAAATGGGTCGTCGCTTGGCCCGAGGTGGATTTAAGCGGTTTGTTCAAGGCTGAGCAACCGGGGAAGAAGTGGCGGGAGGCGGGAACACTCTGCCCAGGTCTGGCCCCCACTGACAGCCGGCGACCAACCCGGAACTGACACAAGGGGGGAAGAAAACTGAAGGACACAAGTGTCGATTTTTAAAAATGGGGACTGCTGTGGGGCGCAGCAGGCACACCTGCGAGAAGGGGGCGACTCACCTGCGTGTTTGTCGCGCGTCCCCCAAGTGCGCCCGTGGGGAGCAGGGGCGGGAAGGGAACTTTGGGGGGGTCCACCCAGAGCCTGGGTTGGAGGTGTCACTAAGGAACTGGGTAAGATGACTCGATGTGCCTCATCCTTGGCGACACGTGTAATGTCAAGATTTAGACACCTTGGCAAATGACACCCGAGAGTTAGGGGACAGGGCGGTGGGGCGAGGCCGCAGGGCTACACGGTGGCGGCTTCCCGGCCCCGAGCCGAGTGCTCCCTCCTCACCCCGGGAACTGGCACCTGGTGGTGGTGGCGGTGGCGGTGGAAGGGAGACAGGGACTGTCCTCCCAGGGCCCAAGCCCGAGCCCGAGGGCTCAGCTGATGCGCCCCAGTGTGCGCTTTGCTGGGCAGCCCCGCCCACCCGGCGTTCCCCCAGGGCTGCGCGAGGTGCCACACTGGGTGAGTCCGCAGCCAGCGGACGACCCCAGGCGGCGGGCGGGAGAGGAGAGCAGGGGACCGGCAAGGAGCCGCCTGGGCTCTTGGACTTACCTCGGGCGGCGCCGGGCGCCAGCAGGGCCCCAGCCAGGGCGAGCAAGAGGGCGCGGGCGGGGGGCGCGGGCGGAGGGCGCGCTGCCATGGTCGCCGGGCTTCGGTGCAGCAGCTCTGGGGGTCCCGCGGCTAGCGCGCACCATTCCACGCGGACGGCGAGCGGGGGCTGGGAGTCGCGACCCGAGGGATTTCCTGCTGCGGGGAGTCAGCTCCGAACCCCTCGCGCAGCGCCCGCGCCGCCGACGAGCTGGTCTAGGCTTTCATTAAAAAAAAAAAAAAAAAAAAGTTTTCCCCCCGTGTGTGCGCGCGCGCGCTGCTCTGGCACGAGCCAGCCTTGACCGTTGCAGTAAATGAGCAAGCTGTCCGAGTTGGCGTGGGGGCGAGGAAGATCGCCAGTGAGAGAGGGCAAGCCTGTGAAAGGGATCCGCGGCCAACGGTCACCGTCTCATCACCACGGAACAAATTATGGTCTCCCCCGCCCCCCGGCGGCGTCCCGCGGGTCCTAGAGACCGCTCAGGGTCCCAGCCAGGGTCCCGCCCAGATCCGGCGCTCGCCCACCCCCGGGGCGGCTCGGCGCAGGGCGCCTCCCCGGCCGCGCGCCCCGGCGGCACAGACGTGGCCCGGAGAGCACACTTCCCCGCCCCGGGATGATGTGGCCGCGGGGCCCCGGGCGCCCGGCTGCCAAGAGCACTCGCGGCTGCACGGTCCAGCTTTTCCAGCCTGAGCTGGAAATGCTGACTCGGCTGCTCGCTCCCCGGCGTGCTGAGAACTCGCGGAACGCGGGTGGCAGTTCTGAAAGGCGGTCCCCAGCCAGGCGGGCGGCCCGGGCCATCCCCTAAGCCCCCGAGTGGACGTCTGGTGCCTGAGAAATAAACTTGGACTTGCAGCCACGCGGCGTCTGGGCATAAAGCTTTTGATGTATACCGCTTTAGATTTTACGTGGATACATTGACTCACGTTTCTTGTCCATGGCGTGGACCCAGAAAAGAGTGTATGGAGATGTTTCCCAAACTTTTCTGTTGATGAGAATTATCTGGGTTTGTCTCTTAAAAACACAGGTCCTGGGCACACCCCCTCGCCTCTGGAATGAGACTCCCCCAGGGAGCATGTCGGGAACCACCAGTGAGGTGAGCGGTGGGCTTTGCCTCCAAGCCCTCATTCCAGTGACCTCCACCTCTTTCTCCTGAGAGCCTGGCTCGGCTTCTTAGAACCCCGAGGGTTAAGGAGCTAACCCCGCCACCCCTGTGCACATTATTTAACTCAGAAGCTCCTAAGGGGAGCCGCGCCTGAGTGGTGCTCCAAGACCCAAGGGGTTCTACTGTGGAGCCAGGAAGGAGGCCCACCCATACAAAGCTGTCCCGTGGCCCCCCACTCTTCCTGACCCACGCCCCCATTCTCAGAGGCGGGCGGCCAACGTGGGAGGAAGTTCTGTCTTTTACCATCTCTTCCTCCTGGAATGTAACTGTCCTCACCACCTCCCGCCGCCCCTCGATTCGCCTGTGTTCCCAAGAACCAGGTCAAACCCCTCCAACCCCTCGACAAAGTGCAGGCCTTAAAAAGCCAGTCTCGCCCAAGGGTCCCCTTCCCAGGGCCAGGGAATCTCAGCACTTCTCCTGGAAGCGAGGCCTGGGTCCGAGCCCCGGTTCACACCCAGCCTTGCTCTCGCTTGGCCTGCAGGCCCCGCATAGCCCTTCCTTTGTTCCCGCACATGCTAGGCCAGCACTGGCCACACTGTGTGCCAGCGGCCTGGGAAAGCAGACCCATGAGAAGCGCCTCTCGCCTTCCAACGCTTTTCTGTCTGAGGGACAAACCGAGAAATTGTGACTTTTGTAAACAGTCTGAGCCGGTTACTCAACCTCTTTAGTGACCGTTTGATGGTTAACTAGGACAGCATCTATCACGTTCCTCGTGGAATCAGAGGACTGTGCTGCAATGTATCCCGCACAGCGGTTCCTTTAAAACCCCGCATGGACGAGGAGGAGACCGCAGGGCCCAGCGCTGAGCGGCTTCCCCGCGGTCTCGGGGCTAAGGGGCAGGTAGGTGGGCACCCGCCCCAGATCTGTCTGAAGACACAGTCTGTGTCTTCAACCCTGACTTCAGGGTCCACATTCATCACGGGCAGGCAAAACCCCGACCCCCCGGGTGATAGTGAGGGTCCGAGACCAACCGCACGGTGTGGGTTAAGAATCCAAACCCCTGGGGGTGCTCTGGAGATCCTTGGGGAGGTCTGGGAGGGGAGTTTCAGAAATCACTCAGGTGGTTCGATCCCGGTGTCCCCCCGAGCTTTCGGAAACGCTGCGCAGGAGAATCACGCGTTGTTCCCTTCGAGGTCAATGGGACGGACTTGTTTTCGGGGGGGAGGGGGGGAGGGGGTGGGTCCAGCGGCCGGCCTCCTGAGTCATCCCCACTGGTTGCGTCCTGTATAACGGCCCTGATGTGTGCTAGGCGCTGGGCCGAGGCTTTATACATGCTCTCTGCTAATAAGCCATCTCTTTTCATTCTTTAATGCTTGGCTGTGACTCTTGGCTGTAGACGTCCAATTAACAAAAAAAAAAAAAGAAAAACAAACAAACAAACACCTGGCGCAAAGTTCTCTCCGGAAGCCTAAGTGTGTCCCAAGCCTGTCCGGGCTGCTTTGGTGGAACCAAACAGACAGCCAGCGCAGGGGAGGGGGGACGGGGGGTTTCGGGGGGGGGGGGTGGAGAAAGTCCGAGCCCCCAGCCTCGGCTGCTCAGGCTTCTCACCCGCTGTCGTTCTGAAGCAAGGAGCCCGGGCGGACGCGCTGCTCTGGAAGACTTCAGGCTCATCGGCGACAGCCAGCTGGGCAGAGGGCGACTCTGGTCCTGCAGATGGCTGGGCCGGCCTCTGGACGGGACCCGACCTCCACATTCCCAGGAAGCGGAGGCCGGCCCGGCATTCAATCCCGGATTGTTAGGTAATGGTCTGGGGTCAGAGGCCAGGCTCTGCTCATTACAGTCGCAGATAGATGGCTTGTTGTCCCTTCCTTTCCAGAAGAATTGACCTTTGCAGGGCCGTTTCCTGTGGGCTATTTTGGAGTACCGGCCTGGGTGCTCACGATGAACAGGGCACTTATTTCTTACCCAAGTCACACGGAGCTCAGTCGGCTTTGAGGACAAGCCAATGAAACACGGAGGCGGGTCTCGCGGGAGCCGGGGTGTGACCGGCAGCCGCGCCCGACTTCTGGGGAACCGAAGGGTCAGCGCCCTTGCAGTCCAACCTATTTTTTTTAACTTTTTAAAAAAGATTTTATTTATTTATTTTTAGAGAGGGAAGGGAGGGAGAGAGAGAGACATCAATGTGCGGTTGCTGGGGGCCGTGGCGTGCAACCCAGGCATGTACCCTGACTGGGAATCGAACCTGCGACACTTTGGTTCGTGGCCCGCGCTCAATCCACCGAGCTACGCCAGCCAGGGCCGCAGTCCAACCTATTGACGGAGCATCCGACACGGGCTCACGGAGCCCCTTTCACGGCCCCAGCCCAGCGCCCCTGCTCGCTGCAGGACAGACACACAGTCGCCCTCGATTAGGGGTCTCGAGAATCTTTTTAGCTCCTTCCCTCAGGGAGATTGCAACTCATGGCCCTCTCGGCCTGCAGTGACACCCAGTGCATTCTTCTTCCCATGGGTCTTCTCACCTCAGCCACCCACGGCGCACCTCCTCAGAACCTGCTCCCCAAAGCCAGCGCCCCCTGGGCTCCAACAGATCCACCGCTGCACAGGACCAGTACTCAGGAGCCGTTCAAACACAATTAGAAAGAACGGTCTTGGGGCATCAGGGTCTCAGGGGGTGCTCCCCCAGCTGCATGTACACTCACCTGAGTCACCCCTGCCTTCGCACTTCCCCTCCTGTGCGCCGGCTGTGTCTGGCTCCCTGACCAGTCGCCCCGTTGCCCTCTCTGTAGGTACACGGCTTCCAGGTGGCGCCACAGTGTCGCCCTGCGCCTTGGCTGAGTTCCTCCTCGGAAGGATGCCCGAGCGAACGAGTGAACTGGCAGCGCCGGGTGCTTTCCCCGAGCCTGGGGACAGCCGGGCCTCCCAAAGCGGGCTCTGGGGCTGCGGGGTTTCCCGAGCTTCTCCGGGCCCGTCCGGGGCGCGGGGAGCAGGAGCCAGCCGCCTGACCTAAGCTGCCGCTTCGGATCTCGCGAGACAAACTGCTCCGGCCGCCGCGGAGCCCGCGCTGTGCCGGCGTATCACTGCGCTCGCTGAGTCTCGAACCCGCCGGAGAAAACGTGGGACTCAAGGCCCGTCTTGCTCTGGGGCCGGGAGACCCTCCGCAGGAAGCAGAGAGGCTCCCGCCTGTCCAGGCCGGCCCCTCGCTGGCAGGCCAAGGGGAGCTGGGGCTGACCGGCTCTGGAGCTGGGCCACGGCCCTGGGTCTCGGGTCGCTCGGCTTCCTCCCGGGGCGAGAGGCCGCCCCATTTCACAGTGACCCCGGGGGAGGCCCTCCGAGATGCACGCACCGCTGTGAAACTGCTTCTTCACCTCGCCCCTCGGGCGGCGAACGGGGCCATCTGCCTCCAGTGCTGTGCCCTTGACGTTGGAGAGGACTGGACACTGGCCCCTCTTCGTGCCTTGGAGTCCAAGTTCCCGTTTCCCTTTACCGTTTTAGGCAAATCAACCCCAATATCTTTAACTTGCCTCTAGGGTCCTATTCTCACTCTCTTTAATCATGCTTTTTGCTCTCTGTTGGATCCTCTCCAGTTTCTTGATTTCTCTTAAACCGTGGAGGCCAAATGGGGCCGCGGGGCTGCAAGGGGGTCTGCCCGTGGCCAGGGGAAGCGGGGGGCTGCTCATCGGGTGGGTCCCCGTGCCGGAGACTCTGACCTCCTCCTCCTCAGAGGGCCAGGCTGGTCCCTGCTTTTGGGGGAAGGACCGACTGGGGCGGGGGCTGCTGGGAGGCCGGCTGGCACGGCAGGGTGTGTGTGGCTCTCTGCCCCTGTCCCCACGGCCAGGCAGCCCTTCCCCTTCCCCGGCACTATTTCCGCCCACTTCCTGGGCTTCCGTCGTCCAGGCCACTTTGATTTCTCGGTTCTGCACCCCGGGGGGCGCTTCCAGGGGTAGCTCCTTCCTCCCATTAGGTCCCTGGTGGGCTCAGGCAGAAAAGCCTTCTCCAGATTCCTGGGGCCTGGCGCCACGCACCGCACTCGGCTCTGGGATCTGATGTGGCTTTCACGTCGTACGGTCACCGAGTGCCGGGCGTTTGTCCTCGTCTCCCCGTCCTGACCCAGCAGCAGCCGCCCCCCCGCACACACACCTTAAACCTGCCAGCGCCCGCCAGTGGGGGACACACAGCACCGCCTCCTCGGGCACCCCTGTCCCCCTGATACTTGGAAGCAATCCTCACCAGGGACTTGTTCAGCGTCCTCTGTCCTAGACTGGGCTTACAAATGCAGAGAAGACGTGGACCGAACATTCCC